AGATTTTTTATATATGAGCATCATTCTTATTTTGATTCGGTTCTGCTTATCGGGTGAGTCCTCCTAACTTGCTTCACATATGGGTGAGTTTCGTAATTTTGTACTTATGTGTTTACCCCTATTAGGAGATTCTATAGTGGTAGCCCATGTCTATCATTTTTTTGTTCACCATTGACAGCTATAAGACTGGATTGAACTTTCTGTTACTAATTACAGTAGGTTTTGATGTGATTTCTAGTTGGTTTGGTTACGATTTATGACTTAGGTGCTCGACCGATATGGGAAGTCCGGTACGTATTGTGATTTTAGTTTACGGAATTGAGTTAGTGGAAGTTTTCGGTTGGTGTGATATGTATTCTACTTGTGATTTAGAGCTGAGGGTGAGAGCCTCCCATTCTCATGTGGTTTGATATGTTTGAACCGGGCTACGTGCCGCGATGAAGTTATATTAGGATGGGATCCTTGTGATTAGTTCATATGTTTTGATCTTCCCTTGTGGAATTGATTAGTAGTATGGTACTGAACGGGAGTTGTGCTTGTCGGCTTGTTTGATAGTTCTTTCGTGTGTTTCTCTTTGTATATTCAGTCATATTCGCGTTGTGCTTATTGGGTTTTAGCTTGCGAGGTGTGCGCCCAGGTGGCATTAGATGTGACTTATTGATTTGAGTGAATGGTCATGGGATCTTCATGCTTCTTGCATCGTTATCAGTGTTGTGAAGGTTTGGAACATGGTTCTAGTTGATATGAGGTTAATTGTCGGTGCTGGACTTGATCATGGGCAGCTATAAAGGTTAGAGATGTTGTTATGGGCATATGTGTGATGTGTTATGTCGTGTGATTGTACATTGTGGGTGTAGGCATGAGTAGTTGCAGCTGGTTGAGGCTGATACCGTGTGTTGATGTGGGAATCGGGTCTTTAGGAAATGATCGGATGGTGAAAAAATTTGGTTCTAAGGTTTATTAGTGTGGGTGGAAGGAATAATTTTCAGTTGAGATGGTTTTGTCGGGCCTATGTGGATTGTGGTGATGTGGGATCACCCGCAAGTATATGTATGGTAAGTTCAGTCAGTTATTTGATGACTTTGGAACGTTTCCTGGCACGTCGAGGACGAACGTTTGTTTAAGAGGGGGAGCATATAACGACCCGCCCAGTCGTTTTGAGAATTGGCATCTCGTTTGGTGGCTTAAGATCTCGAGCAGCTTCGTATCATGTATTATGACTTACGTGTGTGGTCGAGTTAGGTTTTAGAATGATTCGGGATTGATTCGGAAGAATAATTCTTGTCTTAGAAGATTAAGTGAAAAAGTTTACCAGAGTTTGACTTTTGTGAAGACGACTTCGGAATAGTATTTTGATGATTCCAATAGCTTCGTATGGTAATTTTGGACTTACGCGTGTGTCCAGCTTTGGATTTTCGTAGGTTGATTTGATGCATTTTGGTGAAAATTGAAAAGTTAAAAATTTGGAAGGTTGAGAGGTTTGACCGGGAGTTGACTTCATGGATATCGGGCTCGGATTTTGATTTCGAGAGTTGGAATAGCTATTTTAAGTCATTTGGAGCTTGCATGCAAGATTTGATGTCATTCCGGACTGATTTGATATGATTCATCACGAGTTGTAGAAGTTGAAGTTCATAAGTTCATTAAGTTCGAGTGAGGTACGATTTGTAGTTTTGATGTTGTTTGATGTGATTTGAGACCTCAAGCAGGTCTGCATTATGTTATGGAACTTGTTGGTATGTTCGAACGGGATCCCGGGGGCCCCGGGTGTGTTTCAGAGAGTTTCGGATGGTTTCCATGTTTTTGGTCAAGTTTGGTTCTGGTGCGTCGCATCTGCGCATTTTGGAGCGCAGGTGCGGGGCCGTTTCTGCGCATTTTGTGTCGCTTTTGCGACATTGAGGCCTAGGTGGGAGCTTCGCTTCTTCGGATTTAGGCGCGCAGGTGCGATGGTCTTCTGCGGCTTAGTGATCACAGATGCGCAGGATTCCGCTTCTGTGGTTTGTTGGGCGTTTCTAAGGTGTTGCAGGTGCGACCCCTTTTGTGCAGGCGCGAGGTCTGGTCTGGTAAGTGGAAACCGTAGGTGCGGATGATGGCTCGCAAAAGCGAGAGTGCAAGTGCGCATTTTTGGTCCGCAAATGCGAAACCACTGGGCAGCATCATGATATATCGAGGGGTTGGCCATTTTTATCATATCTTGAGTTGTAGACCTCGGTTTTGGGCGATTTTGGAGGAGTTCTTCACGATTTGGAGTGAGGTAAGTGTTCTTTATCCGATGATTCCATATTTGTTTTTATCATTAAAATTGGTGATTTTAGTTGAAGAAAATGAGAATTTTTGTGAAAACTTTCAAAAATATAAAATGATGATTTGAAGGACGATTTGATGCTGGAATTGGATAATTTTGGTATGGTTGGACTCATATCGGATTGGGTGTTCGAATTTTTTGAGTTTTGTCGGGTTCCGAGGTGCGAGCCCGGTTTTAATTAAAGATCGAAACTTTTTTATCCGTAATTGTTCCCTATGATTTTTATTTATGATATTAAGTTATTTTGACTAAATTTGAGCCGTCCGGATATTGTTCGCACGAGAAGGTCATTTTAGAGTATCAGTTTAGCTTTTTTGAGGTAAGTATCTTGCCTAACTTTGTGTGAGGGAATTACCCCTTAGGATTTGAGTCGTTTGTGCTATTTGTGTCATGTGAAAGCCGTGTACGCGAGGTGACGAGTATGTACTCGGCCTTACATGTGAAAATTGATCGGTTTAGACTCTTAGGCTTCTTTCATGTACTTATCTGGCATTGTTAGCACATGTTATGTCTTTTATTCGTCATGTCTAATATCACATGCTTTAGTTGAAGTTGTTGTTACATGTCATATTCTTTACTTGTCGAGCAAAAGTCTCGAATTCGAATTCTGGATATGAAGTCGCCTTTGTGGGGCCATTGTACCTTCAAAGTGAAACTTTCCGGTGTAAATCAAATTTAGTCGGACATCACTGCTCCCGTGAGATAACTTACCTTTTGCAGTTAAGACACAAAAATTTATTCGCAGAAGGTACAAAAAAACCTTTATTAATATAGCTTACCCATCACGGGAGTAATTTATACAACGCCACTAAAAGATAGGTGAGATTGTTGATTTGTGTTCGAGATTCTAATCGTTTTAAGTTATTGGGTTCTGTATTAATAATTCATACATATTCAATAGATTTTCTAAGAGAAATACAGAATTCGAAACCAAAGCTACAGGGTTCGATCGAACCCGCTCCCGGCACTCTAGCTCCGTCCCTGACTCTCGTGACCTTGTACTTCTAACTAAACTAAAAGGTACAACACACATATATCATCTTTTTGTCGTAGTATTGTAACATTATCACGTTTTTCATAATAATCACAACTGTGAAAGAGAAAATGTCCTTTTTATATTTTTCCACAGCAAAGGGCTTCTTCTGTATTTCGAATTACACACGAAACTTCTGTTACTATGTGATAACGTGCCTTTGCACTTAAAGATATGAAAGTAACTAAGAAACAGAAAATGAATCAGAGATAATTGATGAAATAGCATAAATTAATTAAAGAAAAATTAACCTATACAATCGCATATCCAATCATATAAACTAAAAATAGGCGATGGATATACAATACATAGATAATATGTGTATAATCGTGTATAATCAATGTATAATTTATACTTATCGATCAGAAAAATTAAACAATAAATTCGGCCACCTATTTGTACAAAAGTCTCTAAATTATATTTGTTTGGAGCAGTCAGCCTAGCTCCATTGAAGAAAAAAAATATTTTTTACTTCTTTTTTTTTTATGAGTATAAGCACAAATTTAAGATTTTAATATTATTATAGGTTCGAGTACAATTCTATATTTGATTTATTGGATTCAATCTCTGTCATTTGTATTTATTTAGTGAAATTTTTAACATATTCATAGAGTGCACCCAACTCACTACGTACAAGCACGAATTTAAGATTTGAACATTATTATAGGTTCGTGTTCGAAATTCTATCACAATCAATTTGATATATTGTATTAGACCTCTGTTGTTTCTATTTATTTAGTGAAATTTTTAACATATTCATAGAGTTCGAACAAAACAACTGCCCATACATTGTCCTATATATGACCATTTTCATCCCTAATTATTTTAAAACAAAAACATTTTGTTTTCAAAAAATCAAGTACAAAAAAAAACCAACCTATATTTCCCTAAACTAAACTGAATCCAAAGCCAAATTAAATGCATGCATAAGTAAAGAGAATAAAAAAGATAATAATCTGATACTACTTAACTATATGGATTGTCAGGTTAGTAAACAACAAAATAACTTGAATCTCCTAAGCACTTCCTCCTCTGTGCAAAGACGAAGCCATGATTTCAACTTATAGAGTTTGAATTTTAGAACGACGACTTCAGGGGTTGATAACTGAGTTCTAAATTTAATATATATATATATATATATTTAATAAAGTTCTTAACACAATATACTATTTAAATAAAAACTACTAAATTCGATCGAACTCGTGTCTGGACTTCTACCTCCATCCTGAACTCATATAGTACATCACAACTGATGTCGAAATATCTAACTCCTACACCACCACCAACCTTTGTACAAGAAATTAAACCACGTGTTAATTGAACTTTTCCTCCATGACTAAATGTCCTTCACCACCACCAACCTTTGTACAAGAAATTAAACCACGTGTTAATTGAACTTTTCCTCCATGACTAAATGCATGTAAATGAACGGGAGTCATGAAGCAACGATAAAGCTATCTACGTGACCTATAGGTCACAGATTCGAGCCGTGGAAACAGCCGCTAATACTTGCATTATGGTGGACTGTCTACATCACACCCTTTGGGATGCGGTCCTTCCTCGGACCCTGTGTGAATGTGGAAGCTTTGTGCACCGGATTGTCCTTTTAAATGCATGTACATCAATTTTTGGTGAGTCATGAGTGTGTGCATGAAGTTCCCGTAACTCCCCATCTTACACCTATATAATACCCCATTGTATGTAGTATTTTACAACATAAGTAATCAGTGAAATAATATTTCTCTTCTTCAAAAATTCTTCTATTTTCCTCTATCAAATATAGTACGATATGGAAGTTCTTTGTCAAGCCCCAGCTGGAAACTCAAATTTTGCCTGTAACCCCAAATTTACAGCAATTAGAACCAGAGCAATTTCTAGCAATGACACATTTAAAGTAATTTCCAGTACTGGCAACAACAAGAAAATGAAGGGCGCGATACGTACTTCGATTCCAAAACCATCAGCATTGCCATTGAAGGTCTCACAATTATCTCCATCAGCTGATTCAATGCCTGTTCCAGCGTCTTTGCAGGACGTCGAGGCGGGGAAGTTGATAGAGAATAATCCATCAGGGGGCGATACAGAGGAATTGTTTCAGTATCTTGTTGAAATATTGGCTTCTAGAGTGTATGATGTAGCAATTGATTCCCCCTTGCAAAATGCAGCTAAGCTTTCCAAGAAGCTTGGAGTTAACTTTTGGATCAAAAGAGAGGATATGCAGTCCGTATGTTTCTCCTCTCTTCTTTTTTTTTTTTTTTTGATGCAGCATTTGCTTCAACTTAGAATTTGTGGTTTTAAAAGTACCATTAGGAAGGTATGGAAGTTTAGGATTAGGGTAGTAGAGTAGGTAGTCTAGAGTGTTCATAACGGTAGTATTGGCACGCAGTCTCGCTTTCTGTTGGTATATTATGACTAACCATTGTTTTCTTTCATTGTTGATCACCTTACTATCTTGTTGTTTTTATTCTACTTTTATATGGCTTTTTGGTACTGTCCTTCTTGTCTATATTTTCATTACTGTGGTGCTTATGTTTTCCTGAGCCGAGGGTCTATTGGAAACAGTCTCTCTATCCTCGCAACGTAGGGGTAAGGTCTGCGCACACACTATCCTCCCCAGACCCCACAGTGTGGGATAATACTGGATATGTTGTTGCACTAAACGTACCATTACATTTTTTTTTTTTTTTGGCTATAAGAGCATGTTATTACGGGTAAAATAGAAACATTTAAAGTGAAAGAGTTTCCAAACGTAGGATTTTTTATTTTTATTTTTTGGAATAGACCGAAAAAAGAAAGAATGTCATTTAAGATAGAACAACATCAGCGACGGAGCTAGCCTTCGACTTACTGGTTCGGCAGAACCCAATAGTTTTGGGCCAAACTCTGTATTTGTACTAAAAAGCTCACTTAATATGTATAACAATTTATCAAAACCTAGTAAGCTGCATTTTTTTCTCTAAAATCTATGGCTTATAAACTCAAAATTATGTCTCCGCCTCTAAACGAGGATATTATTCTACTTTTAACTTATCTTAATAAGTTAATAATTGTCCTCTTTACCAAACGTTTCTGCCTTGTATTATTGTGTAACTAACTATATTATGCGAACTCTTCAAAATGTTGTTGCACCCTTGTCGGATCCTCCAAAAATACATTATATTTTGAGGATCCGACACGCACTCGATGACCTTTCCGGAGAGTTCGAGCAATATAGGTAACTAATATTGCTAGCTCATCAACTGGTGGTATTTTTTAGGTGTTCTCGTTCAAGCTTAGAGGAGCTTATAACATGATGACCAAACTCTCAAAGGAGCAGTTAGAAAGAGGGGTTATAACTGCTTCAGCTGGAAATCATGCACAAGGTGTTGCATTAGGTGCTCAGAGACTTAAATGTACTGCTACGATTGTCATGCCTGTTACCACACCAGAGATCAAGGTAATTAGTTCTCTCCTGTTAATTAATTCTTCGTGTTCGATTCATGTGAATCTAGTTAATCGGGCACTGAGTTCTACTAAGAAATGAAGACTTTCGAAACTTGGGCTCTTTATCATGCTATAACATTTGTGTAGTTATAAGACTTTTGAAACTTAGTCTTAAATGCATCATAACGTTTGTGTGACTATAAAAGTTTCTCATCTGAATAGGGTCACATAAACTGAAATAGAGAGAATAAATAAAGCACTAAAAAAAATTAGAACTAGCTACGAACTTCGTCGCGAGTCTCGCTAAATCGCTCGTAGCTAACGGAATTTCTTGATATTTGTTTAGCTTGTAGCGAGGAATTTTCTATTTAGCTACAAAAGTAGTCCGTCACTGATTCCTATTTTTTTAGTAGAAATTATTGTGAAATTGTTTGTTTTTCTAAAGGACCGTTTTCTTTACAAATGAACAGATTGAAGCAGTTAAGAACTTGGATGGTAAAGTAGTTCTACATGGTGACACATTTGATAAAGCTCAGGAACATGCTTTAAAGTTGGCTGAAGATGAAGGTCTCACATTCATCCCGCCTTTCGATCACCCAGATGTGATCATAGGCCAAGGTACAATTGGAACGGAGATTAATCGTCAACTTAAAGATATACATGCAGTATTTGTGCCTGTAGGAGGAGGAGGTTTAATAGCTGGTGTTGCTGCATATTTCAAAAGGGTTGCTCCTCATACAAAGATTATTGGAGTTGAGCCATTTGGTGCAAGTTCAATGACACAATCTTTGTACCATGGAGAAAGAGTAAAGTTGGAACAAGTTGATAATTTTGCAGATGGCGTAGCTGTTGCACTAGTTGGTGAAGAAACTTTCCGTCTTTGCAAAGATTTAATAGACGGAATGGTCTTAGTCAGTAACGATGCTATTAGTGCTGCAGTAAAGGTTAGCACGCACCATCTCCTAATGGCTTCAGGTTAGGGGGGGTTGCTAAAATTAGCCCATGAAAATATGATCCATCCAACCAGCCAAAATTGGTTAGAATAGGACGGGTTGGACTATCAACCCAATCACAGCGCAAGTAACATTTATGCGAGTCATGGGCATACGACTCGCCCATTTATTAACTCAACCAATTTTGCTCTGTTCAAATTCAGGCCAACCCGTCACCGTTTGACATTCATACTTTAGATGTGGATTAAAGTAACTTTCTTAAATTTCCCTCTGGTTTTGACATGTACAAGTTTGTGTAAGTGTGTGTTTTGTTCTTTTTTTCAATAGGATGTGTACGACGAAGGACGGAACATATTAGAGACATCAGGTGCACTTGCCATAGCTGGAGCTGAAGCTTACTGCAAATACTATAACATAAAGGGCGAAAACGTTGTAGCAATTGCTAGTGGAGCCAATATGGACTTCAGCAAACTAAAATTAGTCGTCGATTTAGCAGATATTGGTGGACAGAGGGAAGCTCTGCTGGCTACTTTTATGCCAGAAGAACCAGGAAGCTTCAAAAAATTCTGCGAACTTGTGCGTTACTTGGAGCACTTAACACGCATTTTAGTCAGAGTTTAAGTTATATACATCGTCAGTGAAAGAATTTTTCGCAGCATTAGATAAATGTGGCATGATGGTGTTAAAAGTTCTTACACTAATGTTGTATATAACTTAAATGTTTTTTGTTACTATATGATATTTTCTGTCTAAGAAACTGAACTATTGACTTGAATTACAGGTGGGACCTATGAATATTACTGAATTTAAGTACAGATATAATTCTGGAAGAAAACAAGCTCTGGTACTCTACAGGTAACTAAAGTCTCCTTCATTGTTTAAAGAGTCTCTCATCTTAGATTGCTTTATTATTTGTTAGGAAAAAAGAAATTACTTATTATATTCAACGTTTAGGTTATTTACACTACTTGCAAACTGAAATTAGCTACGAACTTCGCCGCTAATACGTCGCTAAATCGCTAGTAGCTAACAGAATATTTTGATAATTTGTCGTTAATCCGTTGCGAAGTAGTATTAGCGACGGATTTTGCTATTTAGTATTTAGCTACAGAATTTGACTGTCTGATAATTTTCTTGTCTTTTAAATAGTGGTAATTTTGTCTTGAATGTGCAGTGTTGGTGTTAATACAAAATCGGATCTTGAGTCAATGTTGGAGAGGATGAAATCATCACAGCTGAATACTGTCAATCTCACAAATAATAATTTGGTCAAAGAACATCTAAGGCATTTGGTAATGTTTTTAGCTTAATTAACTGATTCCTTTGTTATTAACTTAATTAAACCATTTTTGTATGTTTTTCACTCTTTAGTCTATTTTCCAAGATTCTTAATTACCATGTGGATTTTTTATTTAGATGGGAGGCAGATCAGAACCAAGTAATGAGATTTTCTGTCAATTCATATTTCCTGAGAAGCCTGGAGCTTTAAGGAAGTTTTTAGATGCTTTCAGCCCTCGTTGGAATATAAGTTTGTTCCATTATCGTGAACAGGTAATTTCTAGTCACAACCTTCATTTTTAGTTTGATGTAACTTATATACACTGATAATATAAATAATATTTTTACACTATCAGTGTTATTTAACTACTTGTAGCATGTTGCGTGTCTTATTTTTCATACAACTAATTCTACTTATTATGTTGTAGATTTATAGTTATCTTTTGGATTTAAGTTATACACACCGATAATGTAAAGATTGTTTACACTTTCAGTATAGTTTAACTTCTGATAGTATGCTAGCCACCATTTTTAACATATTACTAATATGCAAACGAACCTGAACTGCTATACCAAATCCCCCACTGGCCAGGCAAGGCGAACTTCTTCTAGGTCGAATCACGAAAATAATCGTATGAGAAATCGTCTTATATAAAATTGCCTAGCTAGATGATTTTCCACCTGAAATGAATTCTGAAAATAATAATATGGTAGAATGGCTAGAGAACAGATAACCAGGAAAGAAAGAAACAGAGAACCCACCAGAGCCTTCTCTTACTTTAGCTTAAATGCTTATCATTGAGGATTTACTTGTAATTACTTTATAAATAACCTGATTGTGTAAATACTTTTACCATCGTAGGTACATAGAACTTAGAACTCTTGTTTTATAAATGACTTGATAGTGTAAATATTCTTCTGTGCCATCAATGTATACAAGCTAAACTCTTTCTAGTTTCATTATATGCCACTTTTGGAGTAAATAATTTGTTCTTTTTCTATTTCCATGATAGGGAGAACTTGATGCAAGTGTGTTAGTTGGATTCCAAGTTCCAAAAGGTGAGATAGAAGAGTTCCGAGTTCAAGCTAACAATCTTGGTTATTCATATGAAATCGAGAGTCTCAACGAGGCTTCTCAACTTATAATGGAGTGAACAAGATTGATGTATTACTTAGTACTAGAGTATTTGGCTACTACTGATAGAGCAATAAAGTTGCAGTTATTGCAATTCGAATAATTTATGAATTAACTTGTTGTAAGTTAATTTTCTCTGTCAGTGGAAGCTAGTAGATTTGGTATGAATAATGATCCTTTGTGTCTTATCTAATGGTCTTTAGTTCCATTAAGAAATAAGTTTGTATATCAACTAGTACTTCTTTAAATATTAAGCTGGATTGACATTTTGTTGAATTACTATTCTTGATATGTCCTTGAATGGAAAAACCGAGAACCTTTAGTAGGAAAAGACTAATACAGTCAAATCTTTCTGTAACAACCTCATTTGTTTCGATATCTTTTGGCAACTATAAAGTTAGTTCCAAGGAAATGTGGCCATTATAGTAAAGTGTTGTTACAGAGGATAGCTATTATAGAGAGGTTTAACCGTATGAAGAGAGGTCTGACTGTATAAAGCGTAGTCCAAAATAACTTCGATCCTAATCAGAGGTTTGTCCCTTTAAGATTTTTTTTCAAATTGATTTTCACTGCTAGAACTTAGTTTTATTCACCATAAAGCAATTAGACATCATAAATTCATAATATGGAGCATACAGTTATAAGATTTCATGAGAAGAATGCAACGAAGATCTTTGTCACAATTACTTAAACATGACAATGTTAAATGACTAAAAAAGGATTGAAAGATGGAATATATTGCTTGATTAGCAGCAGTAAGTTGACAAACCCTGCATAGTACACTATTATTGTTGCCTAGTGCCAGTAAGTATTTGCCTTCTAACACTTCAAATACTAGCTTTTGAAGAATGTCGCAATCACATGCTAACAACAGAGGAAGGTATTTGAAAGTGAAAGCAGATAATCACTGTATAAATACCAAAAGCAGTCAATGTTTATAGCAACTTGATTCAGTGCCATAGCAGTCATGCTTAGTTGAACCAATAATTAATAATAAAAATTATTACAAGCGTCACATGTTCTTCATCCTCACCCGCTATTTTTCTCTTTTTCATTTTTTCTGAACTTTATCTTTTCGTACTGCAAAACTGCGTTTGCTATTGCTTCAAACAAATTTCAAGAAAAGAAGGCTACAGTGAAGCTTCTTTGATATAGATAAAAGCTATTTAATGATGTTTCACCAAAATAACAAATAGGAAAACAGGAAGAGTTAGCGGCGTACAAGTTTCCAAGCTTTATGCATGACTTCGTCATCTATGTAAGGGCGCAATGACCACATGCTGGAGTAGCTCTCCAGTTCTCCAGAAGATGAAGTAAGGTTAAGCGAAGAAACTATCTTTTCCTGTTACAGGCAAAAATGACTAACTGTTACGCTTGGCTAAAGTCAGTAACCACCTGATGTCTTGATCATGTATGAATAAATCCACTACCACAGACAGGAAACTAACTCTATTAACGTGACGAGATAATATCTTGGAAGGGATAAGGATTATTACCTGCATTGTGTAGTCATTTTGCACCATGCTGTATAATATTGCCATCATTGTTGCAATATTAATGACTTCATGTTTCAAAAGATCAACAGATAGCCCTTCCTCCTACATAGGCATATTATTAAAAATCAATGAATAGCAGACCTAATAATGTGAACTTCATAACTCAGTAATATGACCAAGTTAACTTGATTTTAGTTTCTTTTTCTTTCTTTATTGGAACTTCTTCAAAAAAAAAAATGGAAGGATTTATCTGGAATTCTGGATTTCCAATATCAAATTCTTGCATTTTATTTTCTTAAGTTCATACCAGAATAAACAAAACTATTGATGTGTAATCCCACTTTTTTTTAACAGCTATTTCATAGGATACTCTTGATCAAGTCTCAAACATTCATCACTTAACCAAACAACACAGCAGAATAGAGAAACAATCTCCACTTGTAGGTATTTCCCAACAGAATAATTATTGGTTCAGTTCTAAATGAAGAGGTAGGTAATAATGTACGAGTGATACATATTAAAAGCTCGAGCATGCAAGTGGCTACAGAAAAAAGGATCTTACTTCATCATGAGCGGTGTCCGACGAATCTGTACCAGTGTCAACATTTCTTTCCCCCATTTGAGCCAAACAACAATTCATCGTTTGCACTACAGCTTCTGCGTCCTTTAAAAGGCAGGCAAGTTCATCAACTACACACTTTCCTGCAATTAAATATCCACATTTTGTAATCTAAACTCCAACTCCAATAGGAAAAACATGCAACTCTTTCATTTAACATAAAAGCTGTAAAGAAAAGTAGTACTCCCTCCGTTCCAATTTATGTGAACCTGTTTGACTGGGCACGGAGTTTAAGAAAAAAAGAAGACTTTTGGAATTTGTGGTCCTAAACAAGTTAAAAAGGGGCCCAAAGTATTTGTGTGGTTATAAAAGCTTCTCATTAAGGGTAGAATTGTAAGTTTAAGCTAAATTGTTTCCAAATTTAGAAAGGGGTCATTCTTTTTGGAACGGACCAAAAAGGAAATAGGTTCACATAAACTGGAAGGGAGGGAGTACATTCTACTATGCAGGGTAAATCTAAATGAACAAACCAATAGTAGCATCGAATAAGCTCAAGTAAAACCCCAATTAACACTCTTGCTAAATGTAGCACATCTTGGTTATTCACGCTCTTGTACAAAGTTCTGGATATAAAATCGAACACACATCGCACCATATGTGTTCCAGATCAAGAGACTTAGTTTATTTTCTAAGTTGAATTAACCTTTTTACCCCTACTGTGTTGTTAATATTAACCTGAACCAATGTGTGTGGCGTGTGCCGCTGAAGAAGGTGTCACTTAACGCACGTAAAGATGATATGGAAAAAATTATTAATTCAGGGCACCTGAAATACCTTTGTTTACATGATCCTGAAGTCCAAGGTGGCATGTATGTACTTCTGTGCAGAAGCACAATCCAAGTTATGAAGGTAATAACACCAAAAAGATATAGTGAAAAAAAAATTGGAAACAAAAAGGAGAAATTCAACTGGTCAAGATGTACACAAGAAGCTCAATTTGTCACTCCTCTTGTTAATTCATAGATATGTCAAAAAATTTGTAACAAGATATTTCAATAGCCTATTATATGGAAAGGTTATAAGCGACAAAGAAATGACAATATCATCATACATAAGTAGCAAGCATACACAATATGTATCAGTGCCAAAAACTCAATCATTGTAAAAACAAGAGAGAACATTCTACAGGACCTACTAAACTTACTCCGAATAGAACGCCCTCATATAATTCCTTCACATTAACTATTTCTTTTTTCGGCTGCAGCAGATATGTAAAACACTTACACTTGGACATATTTTGTAGAGTGTCATGAGCATTCAGACATCCAGCTTCTACGTAGGACGAAAGCCTCTTAGTTTCATTCTCTCTAATAATACGCTCAACCAATCCGGAATTCTTTGCAATCGAAGGACGCCGCATATACTCTGACAAAAGCAGGCAAACAAGCAAGGTTCACTAAAGAGCATTTATGTATTCTTACAATAGATTCACTCAAATGGATGCTACAACACACTCACCAAGGCCTTGCTGAAAGCCAACTAGCAATCTACTTCCAACTTCCGCTAATTCATCAAATTTTGTAATCCTGAAATAGAGAGAACAAACCTAAGTCACACAACAAAAGAAGAAATAGCTCGATAATCAGCAATTGGAACCAAAGTTTCAACACAAGGTGAATTCTTACTATCTGCCTAAACTTTGATGAACATAATAGCACTAGTGCTTGTCCTTAAAAGTTACAAAAAAAGTTTGCAATTTTATTTTAAAAAATGTGAAATTTTTTTGGGCAAAATACAAAATTGGCCGGTCGGCCGATGACAAATTACATCCGCTAGCTAAAAGGCTGTATGATGAAATACACAAATTCTTGTTTGCTAGTAAATTAAAATTAAATGAAGAGGGAAATGTAAGGACAACTATGAGAATAATTAAAAGAAAGCATAAGTTTTTGAAGGTAGTTAAGAGTTGAGAATAAACCTAATCATAAACTCTGAGAAAGTTTGGAACATCCTCTCTTTAGCTTTATCCAACGAACCATTGTCTTGTATTTCCATGGTAGGAGACTTTTGTTCTTCTAATTCAAGATGCCTAACAATTATAGAGGAGCAAAATCCAATTTACAGAGGGAGGATTGAGGAAGAGAGCTACTAGGAGAACTCGAACAAGAGAATAAATATGGTGCCGTTCGTGTTGTTGCTAGTGAGGGTAAAACTGAGGAACGAGGAATTCATTTTTGTAGTTCAGGAATAATAATTTAATTATTTTCCTATTATTTAGGAATAACTATTTAATTATTTCCTTATTTGAGTTATGTAGAAAAATGTGATATTTAGGACTTTATACATAAACTAATACTCCCTCCGGTCCAAAATAAGTGATTTTTTGGCATTTTTCTTGTGGTCCAAAATAAGTAATTTTTCCAGATTTCAAGAATGAATTAATTATTTTTTTCCTACATTGTCCTTGGAGTAAATAGTGTTGGAATATGTGTTAGGAGTGTTTATGTGAGATAGTAAAGGTTAATATAGTCAATTCCATTGCTAATTAATGCTAAAAGGTGGATTTCTTAATCTGTGTGAAAACGTCCAAAAAATCACTTATTTTGGACCGGAGGGAGTATAGCTTACAAAAATATTTAGAACAAATAATTACAAAAAAAATATATAATAAGTATAAGAGGGGAGGGGAGGGGGGAGGGGGATAGGGAGAAAAAATAATTGGGAAAATTCAATGATATTAATGCTTCGACAAACACAAGGTGCAAAAGAATCCAAAAGAAATAGAGCAAAATCGATTATAATATAATATTAAGAATAAAATTTATTAAAATATAAATTTGAAAAAATAAGGATAAAATAACAGATGATAAAATGTATTCATAGGTATATCATGTGAGATACAATATATATACATACATACATATATATGTGTGTGTATATATATGTGTGTATTGTCTTGCATATTAAGAAGATATTGAATTCAGTTATTGTATCAGTGTAATAATATTTAAAATAATGTCACATTTATTTTAATGCCAACATGTATATTTTTAATTGATTGACATTATATTCACGTGCAACACACGTACGGTTAAAATTAGTATATAAAAAAGTTTTAGTACAAAAAAATAAAATTTGACATGGCATATTTTATCTGAGGTGGATACTTACATCAACCCATTGAGAGGCACGTAGGGTCAGAAGGATTTAACGTGTTTCAACTAAGAGCGTGTATTTGGTTTTTCGGTTAGGTATTGCATTAGTGGATTTTCATTTTTGATTTGTCGATTTTTTGGTTATTTTGTTGTATCATATAAGACAATATGGATCTAATATAATCGAATAACATACTCAAATGATGAAAAAGAAATTACTCCAATATAACGAATGGAAAAAAGTGATGTTATATATATATATATATATATATATATATATATATATATATATATATATATATATATATATATATATATATTCAAATTCATTTCACATGGACATCCTTGATAAGATAATTAATACATATTTGATTTGATAGTCAAACACTCCTATTCTCTTGTAAACAAGTCAAGTCACAAATAAATTTGCACGTCCTGATGTGTTGATCCCAATTTTACTATGTAGTATGTTGTGATGTCACCTAGTCTTTACGACTACGGAAGTCTACAGTTAATAATAACTTGACGGAAATAATTAACAGAATACTAAAACAAGGATGAATAACTGATATAAACTTCCGAAAGCAGAACAACAATACACTCCCCAAGACCGGTGGAACTGAGTCATAAGCTCTATAGAGTAAAGCTAGAATAACTACTACACCACTGTTTGAAAGAAAATACAACAGTAAATAAGAATAAAGGTAAAGTGGCTCCGAGGCCCGCGGACGCCAAGCGGGCATACTTTGAAGTCTCCGTAAAGCAGCTAACAGATGATCTCTAACAACCGGCATGAGCAGACGTACCTGGATCTGCACAAAAATATGTAGAAGCGTAGTATGAGTATATCACAACGGTACCCAGTAAGTATCATGCCTAACCTCGGTAGATTAGTGACGGGGCCAGGTCAAGACACCTACTAGGATATAAATAAACAGTATAAGGATAAATAATGGAAAGCGGAGAAATAACTGAAAACAGAATAGCATGAACTGATACCAGAATTGTAAGCACGGAAATAACATAAAGAAATCAGTTAGAGAGAAACGCAATGATCAAATACGGACAATAACTGACGAAACAAGGAAGAACAAAACAACAAGAATCACAACGAGGTACCGCCTCGTGTACAATAAGAATCACCACCGAGGTACCATCTCGTGTGTATATATACAAGAATCACAACCAAGGTACCGATGTATTCACAATTCACAATCTTTTCTTATATCGATGTGTGAGCCTTACATTTGAAATAGGTTTTGAAAACAGTTTTTCCGAAAATAGCTACACGCACTTTAACCCACCTTATGACACCGCGTGGCATCACGTAGTTCCCTACAAGCAACACGCACATAAGTCCCACCTTATACCGTCGCGTGCACATTAACCCCAAGCCCTATACTGCCGCATGCGTGTCAATATCACATCACAATGACAACTCGCACCACAAGTGCTCATGTATCACAACTTGCCAACAGTTAACAATATCTATGTTTCCACAACAATAGCACATGGCTCCACCACAATGGTACAAGAATATCAACAACAACAATGAATGTAAAATGATCAACAAGGAAGATGTTTCAACAATAATAATTTCGTCTCAACGTGATAACGGCTTTTATAACTTCAACACCAATAACTCAACAATGAGATAATGTGTAACAACGATATTAAATAACATTAACTCACGATGAAAGAGATAACATATAACAATGGCTTCAAATAATGAAAATGAACAAGTAAAGGGATAACATGAACAATAACTTCAAGAAATGATAATCAATAATGAATGAGATAACACGAACAATAACTTCAACTAATGATAATTAACAATGAAAAGATAGCATGAAACAATAAAAGAGGCAATAAGGTCAACTAAGGCATGAGAGCAATTTATCAATTAGGATGTAGAACAAGTGTTAAACAAGTCAATTAAGGCATGCAAGGATTGACCAACACAAATAAGGATAGATTGACTATGAGAATTTAGAACATAATATGGCATTTCAATTAAAGCATGAAAATAGTCAAAGTAGCCTGAATCAGTCAAATACCACATACAACCCGTGTACCCACTTATCACCTAACGTACACGGCTTTCACATAGCACAAAAAATACAATCAATCCTAAATCCTAAGGGATAGTTCCCCCACACGAAGTTAGACAAGACATTTACCTCAACTGCGCCAATTTAACACTCGGAAATAGCTTTTCCCCTCAAGTTCGCCTCCACATGGCTCAAATTTAACCAAAGTCGATTTAATATTATCAAACAATGCAAGGGAAATCAATTACAATATGAAAAAGCTATGATCTTTATATTTTTTTCCAAAAAGTCAATAAAAGTCAATCCGGGACCCGTCCGGTCAAAACTCGGGTCCAATATTCGACTACCCATGATCCCAGGAGTTCATATATAGGGATTAGTTTTAAAATTCGAGTCCAAATCGACTCTCAAAACTCAATTTCTTATTTTTCAAAAACTTGACAAGGTTTCACAATTTTTCACCTTGATTCACATGATTTTGAAGTTAAAATCTAAGATATGTTGATGGAATATGATTAAAAATGGATTAGAATCACTTACCCAAAGTTTGTAGGTGAAAATTCCCTCTCCAAATCGCCTCCTACCGAGTCTAGGGTTCAAAATGAGAGAATATTTTCAAAAATTTCGTCTCCCAGCCTTTCGTACCAGCTTTGCATTTGCAAACCTCATAATTGCGTACCAAGACTCGCATTTGCTAACCCTGACAGCCTCAGGAACCATTGCAATTGCTAACTGAAGGGCAATGCAAAAGCAAACAAATATTTGCAAATGCGAACTAAGGTTCGAAATGCGAACTTCGCAATTGCGAAGGGGAAGTTGCAATTGCGGAGCCCCTATTGTCACATTCGCAATTGCGATGCTGGTGCTCGCAATTGTGATTCCTGAGCACCAGCAATCCAATTCCAGTTCAAAACCATATTGAAACGTGTCCGAAACTCATCAGAACCCTCGGGGCTCCAAATTAAACATCCACACAAGTCTAAAAACATCATATGAACTCGCTCACGCGATCAAAATACAAAAATAACATCTAAAACTATGAATCGAACACTAAAACGCATGAATTTCAAAGTAAAGTTCAATAAATTTCTAAAGTTACTAAACGACCAAATCCTATCAAATCAACTCCAAACGACACCAAATTTTGTAGACAAGTTCTAATTACCATAACGGACCTATTTCAAGTCCCATAATCAAATCCCGAGCTCGATATCTAATAGTCAACCTACGGTCCAACTTTTCAACTTCAAATTGTCAAATTTCGGCAAATCAACACAAATCAACTACGGAATTCCAAAATCAATTCGGTCATACGCCCAAGTTCGAAATTACGATACGAAGCTATCGGATCCATCAAAACACAGTTAGGGGATCGTTTTCACAATATTCAAAGTTTGATTAACATTTCTAATTTAAACTTCTAAGTCAAGAATCAAAGGGTCCAAATCAATCCGAAAGCTTCCCGGAACGAAACTAACCGACCCTGCAAGTCATAAAATCATAAAAGCACATATGCGACGCATAAAAAAGGATAATGGGGCGCAATTACACAAAATGATCGATCGGGTCGTTACACCTAATTTCATAATCAAAACAAAATGTACGTATTATTTAATGCTAACTGAATCCTTCATATACCAAGATTTAAATGTATTCTATACATAAAAAAAGTAATATGCATATGTATATATATTAAATAATTTACTTTTATCAGTGCTTCCGTTTTTATTTTTTAAAATTCAAAACCAAACCATAAATCTAATCAAATTACAAAAGAGATTCAGTTACCCGCAAGAGTTGGCTGAATTCGTTGGGCGAGTGGTTTTCCACATGGGAGACCTAAATCGATTTCCCTCTCCAGCACACTCCTCAGTTGTATATGAGTATATTTTTATTTGAAGTGGGAGACTAAGAGAAAGTACAAAAAAATGAAAAAAAATGAAAAATTCAAATTATTCAATGACCTAGTTGATTGACAGTGTAAGGGAGGAAAAAAGTTGGACTTGATTTCAAAAGAACAAGAACAGAATTGAACGCTGCAGACCTTTGCTATTGCAACACCCAGCTGAAATGTAAGAACCCAGAAAGTCACGATTAGATATTACTTAGATATCATTTGAGCATCTTTCATAGGTATAAAGTATCAAATCAAAGTTACGTTATCTTCCTCATATTGTCTTTTCTTTGTAAAGGTTTTGGTTTTGTTTTGCTTAATCTTTCGCTTTATAATAAATATTACTAGCACTTGTTGCCAGTGTTGCTGTTTTTCTCTGGCCTCCCTCTCCAGCACCTCCCCCAACCCAAAAAGGAAATAAAAACACAGAGGAAATTGCATCTTCTTTGCCACTCAAATTCTTCTTCTGTTATTTATAGCTTTCTGTGGTTGGATTAAACATGTATGAAGTTGCATGAAGGGGAACGTTGGAGCAACGGTGAAGTTGTCTCTGTTTGACCTACAAGTCAGTGGTCACGGTTTCAAGCCGTGAAATCGGCCACTGATGCTTGCACCAGGGTAGGCTGCCTACATCACATACCTTGTGATGCGGTTCTTCCCCGGACCCTACACGAACACGAGATGCTTCTTGCACCTACTGCCCTTTGAAGTTGCATGAAGAAGCAGGTCATACGTAAAGGAATATTTTGTGGTTCACGAAACTATTGCTTCAATTTTCTGCGAAGTATGTTTAGCTTTTATTAAAACACACATACTCCTAAATAAACTCATAGAAATGGACAAAATTAAACAAGCTTTACTTGAACTCATACTTTTGTCCAGTAATATCACTTGATTACTAGCTTTAAGAGGTGCCAAACATGCCTCCTCACCTGGAAATGAGCAACTTTCTATCCAACAGTTATATCATTTTGCCCTTTACTTAAATTTAAATGTCCTTACATTCTCATCACCTGCTCCCCCACCTTCCTCTCACTCATCAATCAAACCTCTCTAATTTTCTTCCCCGCCATCCTAACGATAAGAAAAAGAAGAGATTCACTATAGGAGAAGAGAACAATGAGTTTCTTGAGGGGTCTCTTAGGCGGTCTTCTTCTTGCTATGGTATTTTTTGTATCTGATGGAGATCCTTTGGTTCCAGCATTGTGCATCTTTGGTGATTCTGTAGTTGATGTTGGAAATAATAACAACTTAAGCACTCTCATCAAGGCAAACTTTCCACCTTATGGAAGAGATTTTGTTACCCACAGACCCACCGGAAGGTTCTGCAATGGAAAGCTGGCCACAGACTTCACAGGTAATGTCCAAGTCTCCTCAACAACAACCCCCCCCCAACCCAAAAACCAAACC